TAGTGCACAGGGAAATACTCAGCTTCCTTTGTGTATTTACCTTACAACAGGGTGAGTCCATGTTACACAAGCCTGGGAAACTAAATATCTTCGTAGATAAATGTTCAAAAGATACCTTTAGGTTAAAGAGTATTTCATGCACTCTGGAGACTTATAACTGCATTTAATAAACTAAAAATGAGAAAACTAAATACAAAGTAATTATTTACAACTGCGATTACATCTTTAAATGCCTTTCGGTAGATACAGGTAGGCGAGTACTCTCTCTCTGCCTCCCAATTACAATTAAATGCAGCACATTTCCATATTTGATCTTCAATACTTTCTTAAAAAGTACAAGAAAAGACTTGCCCGAGAAGCTGAAAACTATTAAATGTCAACAAATAAAGTTCCTAGCTACCAAAGAAACCACACACACGTATCACTTCTGCTGGCTTATTCCGCTAGTGTTTTCCCAGGATCCAAAAATGTGGAATCAAAGGGAAACCCTTTGACCAGCCCAAACAGAGCCTCACAAGATTCTGTCCTCCTTGCTAAATGATTGCAGTTGCTGTATTGAAGAATGACAAAGCATCTGCCTGGCATTCCTAAAGAGTGTGCCTACCTTTCATTGAACAAAAAGTTGAATACCCCAATGAATTATGAGAGGAAAATAAGTGACCTCACCAGCTTCCAGAACCAGCTCTTCTCAAGCAGTTCAGATATTTCTGTCTTCAGACAAAGAAAAGCCATGAAAAAGATAAATCTGCAAACTAGCCCACATTGCAACAAAGTACAGTTTAACAGCCCCAGGAATTTCAGTCAGTAAGGGGACAGTGGTTCGCTTGGACTGTAGTGTGTAACAAGTGTAAGCCATTTACTGTAAAAGGCTTCAAAAGATGGCTACCTCAAAATCTGAGGCAGTTTTACCATGCCACTGAAAACTATGCATTTCATCCAAAATATCACAAAATTTGATTTAAGTTTACCTGTAAACTGTGCCCTTCATAATCCAAACTCTAAGCGTTTCCAAGATTGTCTACTTCTGTTAGCTTGGTTCAGTCAGAAAAATATTTCTCACTGGTGCCAGGATATTCTTTAGCAGGATTCACGTTAATTGTTTGGTTTACCATTGTTTCTTTCACCACACTTAACTGACTCTTCTTCTGTGATTCACCACACCTTAATCAGGAAATTATTCCATTTACCTTGATAGGGCATTAAGTTTGAAATTTTTGGTTTTGACTTCAGCCACACAAGTGGTGTTGTGCTTGGTGAATTGTTCATGCTCATTGGAAGTCTGATTTTGGTGCTGTATATTGATTCATACACTCTCAAATATTGATGCATTTCAAGTGCATGTAGATTTGTGTGTGTGTACGTGCACATGTGTACGTGTGTGTACATACACACACAGAGGAGGTAATATTTTCCAAAATTCAAAGATTCACCCATCTGGAATCATTGAAAAAGGAAATACACATTCAAAAATTGTGGTAGCTTTGAAAACCTCGATACACTGCAGGTGGAAAAAACACCATAGGTGGATTAGATGCATACCAATCAATTAGTTTTTGCTGAAACTTACAGTGAGTAAGCACCTTCAATTTAACAGTGGAGAGATCAGCACCCCATCATAACATGGCTACACACTCACACACACAATCTCATCCAGTAATATGCATGCTTAACTGAGAAAAAAAAATTGAAATAATATAATATAATAAATAATGTAATAAATATAATAATACATAATATATAAATAATATATGTAATGAATAAGTATTATAAGATGTAATATATAATAACTATAATAAAATAATATAATAATAAGGGCTCAGCAGAATTACTTAATTAGTGGGAAGTACACCAGCTGTCAAAACCTTGGTAACTTTTCAGACTACTACTTGGTGGCAAGTCCAGCTCTATATCTAACAAGGCCCATTTCTGTTCAGCAACATTTTTTTATTCACTCTCCAGATTGAACAGGGGATAAAAAAGCAGATATGCATGAAACTGACAGCCACGGCTCTCTTTTGTTCAGGGTTATCCATTGTTGAACCATTTTTCACTGCAGCCAAAAGGCTTGTTTGAGCTTCCTGACTGTTCATCACACATAATTTGGAGTATTTAACTCTATGTCAAGAAGATTGCCCACTGCTTCCCACCGTAGAAACCTGTGGGAGTTCTATATCTTTAAACTAATTTTACTTAAAGTATTCCATTGAACAGCACAACTGTCTCACTATAATCAGTGCAACAGTAATGTAATTAATCTCAGAATTGCTGTGGGGAGTACGAGGCATCTCAATTGCTTGTCGTAACAATCTAAATTAGTGTATTACTGAAAGATGTTGGGAAGGAACAGTTCATTTTAGGTAAATGCTGTCAGGGTATCCATCCTTTCTATTTCTAAAGCTGAAATTAAAACTATCATCATAGTTCTCCTTTTGAAACCCAAATGAGTATGTCTTGAGGTGGGAAAGTATAATTATATTTGATGTGGTATTCCTACAGATGCAGTTTTGCATTTTACAATAATTAAATTTTTTGGAGTAAAAATTCATGTTTTATTTAGAAAAGAAAAACTGGTTTGGCTCAAAGGATGCCATTGTATCAGAACAATTCCCTTTTGTCACTGAAACTTCACAGACGGCTGCTTCTTCTTCTCCTAAGAAAAAATTATTCTTGCTGTTTTACTTTTTGTACATCCATCCTTTAACTGTTCTATTTGGAAATATTTTGACTGGGCATGCGACTCCTCTAGTGTACAGCACATCTCAGAGATGAACTTTAAATAATTAAATTTAAAAGCCATTCCACTAATAATAGTGATTAATAATAATAAATTGCAGAGAATAGCTGATGCGTATGCCTGGAACCCCATACTTGGTGTTGCTTAACCCCATCCCCTCTTCTCAGGAACTAAATCAATCAAATGAAATGAAAAACTTTACCCTAATATAGAGGTTACAAAAGGTGATGAAAATAGTAAATTGAGGACAGTCTGGTCTGTTATTCCTTATGGTGCCACAACAGAAGAATAGGAAGTGTTTTCAGTTTGCTACTACTCTGAAAAAAATCAGCAGAATAAAATTTTATCTTTTAAGGTCTAAAGATTAATCTTTCAACCACAGATAAGGGAAGAGAGTAAGACTTTTGCTGGGCAGAGTTGAAAGCACTTCGCCTGCTCCATGAATATACTCCCCAATGTTAAAATCACAAGACAGCACATTTGTCAACTGTCTGAAAGAAAGTCAGATACTTCATTTAGATGTTGTATTTCTTCAGAAACAATCCAAAACAGAACACTGAACAGTCCAGAGAGATTATCACCTAATCTGCTCTTTTAATATATATAAGAAATCAAAACGTAAGTAAAACAAGTACTGAATAATTAAAGAAATGCATAACAGTAAGGGCCTGATTTTAATTTGCATAATTTTTCCCTTAATAGTGCCTAATTAAGACATCAGTTTAAAAAAAAAAATCCAACAGAACTCTAAGATTTTCCGCACTGAATTAACATTAAGGACTTTTAATGGATGTCTTAATTAGACTTTGTTATTCATGGAAATTTTACACAAATTAAAATCAGGTCCTGCATGCAACATTCCCAGCTGAGTCTCAGCAAAAATGCTGTATGGGACTGAAAGACTTTTAATCCATGTGCAGATAGCAATTTGTATTCTAAAGCTGACACACTCCATTTTCACTTTTTGGTTTAATTTGCATTAATATTGTAACCAACAAAAATCACATAGTTAGGATTTCTCCCTTCAAAGTAAATTTTGATTTTATGGACCTACTTTTTAAAAAAAATATGTAGAAAGTCATGCAGCTGGACCAGAGCTTTAGCTCATGGGAACAATAGCCGCAATGACCTCTGAACACTCCAGAGGGGCCATATCTGTTATTCAACATAGAAAGTTTGATACAACCTCAAGTTCTACTGCTGTTGTGCCCAAAACGCATGCTGAAAGGCCTGTCATTATTGATGAAAAACAAACTAAAACAAAGCCCAAAACAAAATACTGTCACAGCAACCCCTTCATCCCGGATAACACAGTCCTTCCAAAGGAACCTAACCCCTAGGAGCAGGAAAACCTGACTGTTTTCTCTTTGGTTTACATTCCCAAGGGTCTTCCGAAAAACATGCTAAAGCACAAGCTACAGGGCTCCACAGGAGCCTTTCAGACAAGACATCAAAAATAAATAACTGCCTGAGCAGCAAATTACACTGACACTGGAAATAGAAATTCTAAGTATTGACAGACCAAGTCTCAACTGCAGTTTACTGTGTAGTGCAGATCACATGCTAACACTATGTGCTGATGCTATCATGGAAAGCAGTTCTGCACACAGTCCTTCACAAATTACTTTGCTAATGAAAACCATGTTAATTTCCCATATCAGACACAAGTCTGAATCAGCATAGCAGCCAGGAACTCATCTGTTACTGCATGTTCTCTACAAAAGGAAGGAAAAACAATTTTGTGGGTCTGGGCTGTGCTCACTAAAGCAATGTCTCTGTATCTGTGCAAAGAAATGTCAGGTGCCTATGAGACAGGGCAAGCATTACCTTGCCAGTGTTAATTTTCATTGTTGGTCTGTAAGTATACCTGTATGTCCATGCGTGTGCACGCATATACATGTACATATCAGCGCACTCCTTGCTCTGCCCTGCAGCAGGAGCTTTGGCTTCGACTCTGGCGGCTCTGCATGGCCACAGAGGTGCCCAGCCTGCAGGAAGGGTGCAGGACTGGGGACTTCCCTGTTAGTGCTTCTACATCATTCAGTACAGGTATTTTTCTTATGCTTGACAGAGGAACAGCAGGTGGATGTGACTAACCTGAGCCCTTTATTCAACCATGCTGAACAGGAAAAGTTGCTGGATCACTTATATGCCAGCTCCCAGCTTGCTCTGAGACCAAAACTAGTGAGATACAAGTTCAGATGCCCTGGAAGACACACATTCCTCATAGGATTTCTTTTGGAGTGTTTGTGTTGTTTTACAGTACCTGGCTAGTCTGTGGGCTGGACGGGTCGTAAGAAGGTACATAATTCTTCAGAGTATCCTGAGGATTCAGGTGGGGAGGATATCTGATCGTTGGATGAGAGAAGTAGCTAGACGGGGCAGGAGGGAGAATAGCTTGTGCTGGAAATGGCAATGGTGAAGGTGGAGGTGGAGTTCTAGTTGAGATGACTGGAGAAGATAAAATAAAATTAAAATTACTTCGTATCTTGTTTCTTCTAAAATTCTTCACCTCTGTGTTACAGCAAGAAAAATAAAAAGTCAGTTATAATCAGTACACTGCACTCCTGCTTTGTGGCATCTTTACAGAAAAACTTACATATCCTCCCCTTATATCATACCAGGCAATGGAAAGTGCTACTGTGTTCAGCTCATAAATACTGTATCTTCTTTTGGTTTTGTGGGTTATGCCATCCTATTTTTTTCATTTTTCTTTGAACAGTAGTATTCTCCAGCATAAAAGATATTTCAATACTATTTCAATTATACAGTTTACCCCTCTGGAGCAGAAATAAAAAAACCACACCTTTTACTCAATATACAAAACCTATACTTTTATCCACAACATTCCAACAGAGGAGAGCAAAGTCACCAAATACAGTTAGTGATTCGACACTGCATTGCATTCTGCCTGCCTCATGTGGAGCCAACGTAATAACTGCTCATCAGTAATGTCATGAATATTAGCTGACCTTTGTGTAAATGCTAATGAACATTCAACTTCAGGGCCTGGGAAACCAGTCCATCCAATAAAAATATCTCTGACAAAAGAGTGTCTCCCCTATACATATTTTTATTTGCATTCTCTTTCTTCCCAGCCCCTACAGACACACACTTCTCTATCTATAGACTATATGTAATGTCTAAACAACCAGCAATGTTTTCACAGGGAAGGGAATGTAGAGCATGTCCTGCTGCTGCCCAGTCGCCCTGCTGGCAGTGGAGAGGGCTTTTCTATGACACTGCACAACAACCCACTTACCACCCTTACTACCATCTAGAGGGCACCTACTTGGCAACACATTAAAAAGGAGGTACTGTGTTCAACATAAATTGAGAAAAGACAATGGTGTTTTCATTTTCGTTAGTGGGAGGGTACAAAATCAGGTCTGGATAAGCAATGTATTTTATAAACTGCTCATGGTTCTATATTGTATCGGCACAAGCACACCAACACTGCTCTAGAACACTTCTCATATATTTGGTTTTTTTCAGCTTAATTTTTAAATGACTTGCTATTTTTGAGCTGGGACCAAGTCATGGTTTGCCCAAGAAAAAGCAACAGCAAGAATGTTCCAAAATTGCTGTACTTGGTAATCAATGCCTTGTAAATCTCAAAACTGTTGCTCACTGACATAATAGAACAGGCTACACAGATAGAAAGCAGGTTTCCTAGCAAGTAAATGGCTCATCTACAAATTATGTTATGAATGTCACTCACATATATCTAAAAGTTGTACACTAAAGCAAGTATAAAGATCTACACATAATTATAGGGCCAAAAATTATTACGGAGGCTTCTTTTGTGACAGGTTCTTTTTAATCATAGCACCACTAGTTCTGTTTAGTCATAAAACATTAGTTACTGCTCTGACATGTGGGAGCTGTGCAAAATAAACATAAGTGAGCAGAAATCTGTCCTTTCCATTTCACCCATCATTTCTGATGTGCTTGAGTATTTGCTGACAGTGGAAACCTTACAGAGACCATGAGCACAGTCTCACTTTCATAATACAAAATAAATGGATGTTAAGGGGAAAATAGTCCTTACACATGAAGTGAAAAATAACTTGAAACCAGGGAGAAATCACAAGAGAAACTTCTCAAAGCAGAACTGCATCTTAAAGAAAAGAAGACAGAGTCCTCAAATCTGTTTTACTCCTCTAGTCACCCAGCTCTGCTCCATAAATTACTCCCTTTACATGCAGTTTATAAGGACACGTGATGAGCTGCTGAGGGGAGACTTTTGTGGACCGTGTTCTCATCTGAAGAATCAGGGTCTCTCACCTCTAAAAATAAATAGACCGTGATGCTGAAATTTCCTTGTCATTGTTGATAAACCAATAAGATAACATGCATTCCATCACATTTCAAGTGTCTCCTTCACACTTTAAGTGAAGTTTTACTACAGATTTCAGAAGGCAAATGTTGAAAAATATTTATCAGAATTTTACCTCTTTAGACACAGCATTCAAAAGAAGCACTGGTACTTATTTCATTGTGTCACATAGTAAACATTGTTGTGACTTGTCTTGTGTATTAAATCTTACCTATTCTGGTACTTAAATACAACATAGTCACAGCAACAATAATAAAAAAGGATGTACATGGAAGGAGGAGAGGCAGGGAGGATTTTTACTCTGTCAGTTTCTTCATGCAGTTTACGGGTTATTTTAGTCACTAGTTAATCCTAAATCTTCTCCAGTAACTTGCAGCAGTCAGACTACCTGAACTGAGTTTAACAAGCATTCCCGCAAGGCTACCTCAACCTCTTCCATTTATATGCTCATCAGTATGGGGATGGGACTATAAATGGGATTAGGCGCCTAAGAAATTCTGCAAAAATTAATCACAATCTTATTGCAGGAACAGAGAACAGACCAAATGAATAGGGAGGTATTTCTTCCTCCTCTATAACCCTCACCACTGTGTGCAACTCCTGGGATTCCTGGGTGGTGATGCTGGGGAAAAGTGCTCAGTCTTGGTGAAGAATCCTGTGGAGAAGTAGGACTAAACAAAGGCTTTTCAGGTTTCTTCATTGTAGGAGAAGACATATCTGCAATAGAAAAACAATGGAGCAGTGACATTAGCTTAGAAGCCCATCTCAGGACACAAAATTTTGTAGACTGGAGATATTTAATTTACTGTTCTTGCATAAATATTGTTTGGTGACCCAACTCCCCTGTGACCAATAAACTAATTTTAAACTATTGCTTTCAAACTTGAGAATGAATAATAATCCCCTAACTGGTCTTTTTCCTGCAAAACAGAAACTACATTCCTTTCATACCAGACAAGCCAAACAATGAATAAATGCGTGTCTTCAGAACCTCCCTAGACACTTCTCAGCTCCCCAGAACATCACCAAATCATCTCCTCCTTCAACAGCCACACAATCTTTATTGCATTATTTAATGGAACACCTGCACTCAGGTGTGTAGAGTAACTGCCATACATATGCCAGTTTATGGTATTTATTATTTTGTTGTTCCAAAGCCCATCCCTTAACCTTCCCAAAACCATAGTGAAAAAAATGTAACCTCCCCAAGAATAAAAGATACTTGAAGTCTCCTATCTCATATTTTCCATGTCTTAAGTAGGGCCTTTCCGCCTCTTCCTTCCAGTTTCCCTGTTAACAAAAACATCTTTTTAGAGCTCAGTGCATGAAGATAGCACACTAGTAGGGACAAATGTGTGATTTCTACCATGCAGGGTTACTGACATTGCATAAAGCAAAAATATTGGATTTTTTTCAGAAAGTTTAAATTAAATAAACAATATTTGTTGGACTTTGCACCAAATTATGTTGAAATTAATTATAACATTTTTATAGGACTCACATCAACATCATAAGTGAGTTCCATTTCAGATCAATGGGACTAACTCATGTTAAAACCAAAGGTCATTTCTTAAGTACTTTACTGGACTGGGGCCACTTTGCAGCTGACTTTCCTAGATGGATGTGTTAGTCCTTAGAGTGATTTTGGCACTTTTAATATTGGCACACTGTATTATGCTGGCGATTTTGGGGGACATAAATTCATCTTAGAAGTCAAAGATAGTCCTGCAAAATATGAGCACCTTACTGAAACCAAATTGTACCAGTGTTTTCTGAACTGGCTGGAGTTTAACAGTACATTTGCACCCTGAAAGATATATCTAGAGCAGGACCCACCAACCTGACAGACCATTTGTCTGCTCTGCCTTGTCCTGCTGTCATGCCCTGCACAGGCACCGGCACCAGACCCAGAGCAGCCTCTGCCAGTGCCCCTCCACCATCCCCCTGCAACTTTGCTGCTCCCCTTTGGTCCTGATTACTAAATCTGCTGATTTCCCAGATACCTTGTAAGGTTCACCTCTTCAAGAAAGGCTGCTGAGAAAGGACTTTACTCAGGAAACATCCAGCAAGAGTTCATTCAGTTTTAATAGGTAGGACAAAGGTTGCTGTATGTTTTTATTGTACTAGCTTCTTGCAGTTCTATGTTGTTATCAAAACCACTGAGCGCTGGAAGAGGCAACCCTAGCTGTCTTATAAAAATTTGGTAAATAAATTGTTGAGCAAGAAATTGCAGGAATATTCAGTTTCTTTGAATCTACCAGCAGGCAGCAAAGATGAAGTTGCCAAATGGTTACAGAAATAATTTTTTAAATTGCAAGACTAATTTTTTTTAAATGTAGTTTTGCATAGGCATTCTGGAATTCTCAGATATTTCATTATGTTTTATTTTCTGCTCAAATGACGTCCCTAGCTTCTTCATATAAGGCCTTAGTTCCATCAGAGCAAGAAAATTCTGACACCTCCACAACAGATGTAGAGTTTTATCAAGCCCAGAATAAAATTAATCACCTATTGCCTTTGCACTGTGGTTCTGTGCATGCACAATCTCTGTCTCTGTAGAAACACTGCAATGTTACAGACCAAGAAAAAAGGTAAGTGTGCTTGTAAACAACAATCTCCTGCTACAACACTGTGGTCATCAGTTGTTGTCAGAGAACTTATCAGTGACCAAATATCTTGTTGACTCTACCACATGTAGACTATCACAAAAGAGAAAATGTACAAACAGTTTTAATTTTATTTCAGATGAAAGTACTGCACTGAAGTCTCCCTAAGGAAAAAACAAACCATGGGCTGGAAGTGGAAAATCTTTTCCTTATGTAAAGCCCATATTCAACAAAAGAACTCATGAAAGAAAGAGCTGCCTAGCGTCAGCAGCTCTGATTTCTGGAATGCAACAGAGATCTAATTTGGTTGGTGACTATTACTTCGTTGAACAAGCAAAAGTTGTTGTGTTTTTCGAAACCAAAATATTTTAGTTGCTCAAAAGAAGTATGCTATAGGAAGTGTAATGTAATCAGAGTATCCATTAACCCCCCCCAGCGGCATCATTAATTTGAAAAGAATCTACTGAAAAGGAGATTAGTGACTATGATAACCCTAGCATTTGCTTTAAAAATGTGTGATTTATTCCTGCTCCTACTTTACAGGAGTAAGAATTGTAGTTAGCATACAGAAAACAGACAGCATAAATTACAAAGCAAACGCAATGAGCTTATACAGAATACTGTTTCCTCATCAAGGTGAACACGATGGGTAGTCAGGAATAGAAAATTCATCACTGCCACAAAAATACTCATTACCCACCAAAACAGCAACTTTAACATACACTGCACAGCACACCACCATGAAGCACTTTCAGAAGAAGTCTCATTATACACAGCATAGGCAACTGCAAAGAATATCATCTGAAGCGCAGGCAGCAGCTTCTTTGTTAAAACAATGCGCTTTGCATTGAGAAGTAATTCAGATAGCCCCTTCCCCCCCTCCCCACCCCATAGCCCCCGTGGCTCTCCCCGTGTGCCTGGCCATCAAAATAGAGCATTCATGCTCCTGCCACTGCTGAATAACAGATGCAGCTGACAAGGGAGACAGAACAATAACTGTTTGTATAGGTTAGGAAGAAAGGCTGCAGCCATCTCCTCCTTGACCAAGAGAGAAAACTTAGAGCTTTAGTAGGAAAACACACAAGTTACATTTCTTTGGAGAGTTACCAGCTACAAAAACAAAAAGTGGGAAAAAAATGAAGACACAAAGCTGTTTTTCACTGTCTTCAATTTTGATTGTAAGAAACAGTGCCTTTAAATAGAATAGAATGAGTTAAAGTGACAGTGAGACCTCATATGATTTCACTAGTAGCTTCTACATAATAGAAAACACAGATCTTTCTCATTTTAAAACGTCTTATTTTTTCCACATCACGACATAGAGTCTAGGAGCTACACAGAGCTTAGTTATGTACCAATAATTACATAATGAATGACAAACAGAGGTCACAAAACCAGGCCACTGGCTCTTACGTCTGTGTCAAAGTTTCAGGAATGAGATTCCAATCCTTATTACTTTGCAAATGAAAATAAAACAGTTTCAAGTGTGATTTATTTTTAGACTTTTGGAAAAAATGCTAAGTGCAGATGAAAAACAGAAAGATGCCAAAAGCATTTGGACAAAGTTATCAAAAGGTCAACATTAACCAGACACTGTGTCCTGTCCTGCCAAGTATTTTCTTCAAACATGAAAAATGGGCTTTTTTTTTTTTTTTCTCAGTGCTGTCTTGCCTGTATTCTCATGTTAACTGTGGAGATACAGTACGTATGCACTCAAATGGGTGGCATGTTATATGTTTTAAAGCATCACATCAAATAAAAAAGTCTTATGCAAATAAAAGAGTTAGATGATCTCATCTGACAACAAGGTAAACCCATCCACGTGGGAAGGCAGAAGAGCTGTTGTGAAGCACAGTGTATATAGCCTGTTCATCAGCAGCTTGCACAAATGGTGTTCCAGATGTATAGCTGTTCAAGACAGCCTAAGGCAACAATTTTGATCAATTCTAATGTGATAAAATGATTCAGGAAAAGTGTGCAGAAACATGTTTACGTCAGCCTTTAATTAAACTGTTGTTCACTTCCATAGAACCTTATGAAACACTGATGAAACACGACTTTTGGCAATTTCCTCATCAAAACAAAGACCCTCTTCCTCAGTCTGAAGCAGCCTGTCATCCAGGCAGTTCCCTGGATTAATGTCACTTTGGCACACCACTTGGCAAGTCACCTGTTAGGAGAACTCAGTTGGAATTGAGCAGCAATCTAGGGCAGGTTCAAACATCCACTGCCTGTTTCTGGATCTGCTTTCTTGCTCACCACCACAACATGGCAGCTTCTTTCTTGCTCAGGAGACATGTGCATGAGCAGAGTAAGAAGAAATCATAAACAAGTATTAAATATCTTTTAATCCTGTTTGTTATTTAATTCTTCTTATTAATATCTTTTCTACTGCTTAGTTTAAGAAGTCTTTCTTTACAAGGTAAGCTCCTGCAGACAACAATCAGTAAAGATTGTGTAGTGTAGCATCACCTCCAGTGAAAGCAAGATAAAACAACATTCAACTTACTGTATATACAACCATAGTGAAAGCAGGAAAGCTATGGAGCCCATAGCACCACTGGCAAGCTACAAGAGGTATCCTTTCATGCTACAGTTTTAAATGAACTGCTATGTTCCCAGAGGCAGTACCTGGGATATTTTCTGGTGCCAGGATAAATTACAAACATCACATCCAGCTGTGCCTCACTGTCCACAGCCTCCACCAGATCTGGTAAGTACACTTGTGTGAAGCACAAGTGAAAACTTGAGTAAAATTTCAAATTCACATTGGATAGTTGTATGATGACGATGAATCATGACAAATCTCACTGTACTCAAGAGAACCAGTTTTGGTTTACACCTGTGCATGTCAAGAACAAGCAGAGCCACCCTGCACAGGCAGAGCCAGCATCACCAATTTTCAGATGTGCTCAGTCTGATTTCCTTTAACACTGTAAGCATTCTGTATTTCTCAACTGTAGGCCTTAATAAGGCACCTAACACTCCATATAGACAGCTGAGTGACTCTAAAGCACAACCACCTCCCATTTGTAAGAAAAAGGCTTTGTCATATGTGTCCTAAAAACTTGGCCTAGGGGCTGGATGGACAACAAGAATCCTGAAAATCAA